AATACAGTACAGCAATTATCTACATACCATTTACACCTATATCAGGTATTATAAGTAATGTAGAGATGATTTAAAGTATAGGGAGGATGTGCATAGGTTTTACACAAATACTACACTATCTTATATAAAGAAGTTAGGCATTCATAGTGTTTGCTACCTGTGGGGTTTCTAGAACCAATCCCTCCCAGATACTAAGAGATGACTGCAATTTTGAGCAGACAGACCCAGTTCTGGTGCTTGCATTATTTAGAATTGCTTGGAGTCAACACTTAAATGATATCAAATACACACACATCTACATATACACATATGTAATTATAAATATTGAAAATTTATGGCCCAGAAGTGACCAGAGAGGGCTAATTTAGACTTAAGGAATAAGGAAAGTTTTCTGAAGTCCCATATAACTGATATGTGGTAGAGGTTGAGGGATAAAAGACTACAAATAGGGTGCAGTGTATATTGCTCGGGTGATGGGTGCACCAAAATCTCACAAATCACCACTAAATAACTTACTCCACTAAATAACTTACTCATGTAACCAAACACCACCTGTACCCCAATAACTTATGGAAAATAAAAAATAATTTCAAAAATAAAAATAAAAATAAATTTTAAAGAAGTAGGAGAGGCGGGTATTTCTAAAGCGAGAAATACGTGTGTGAGGGCTTCAGTTAGGATGGCGCTTTGGTTTTTTTCGAGGACTGGAAGAAGAACACTGTTACATGAACACAGTTGGAAGAATGGCAAGCAACAGAGCCCAAGAGGTGGGCAGGGCCCTGAGTGGGCAGCATCTTGTAGGTCGTGATGGGTAAATGCTCCATGCAAACCATGGCAGTGTGACAGTAATTGCATCAACATTGATTGTGAAGTTAGGCATAATGATGTTTATATTCAACAGTACAAAGAAAAGGGCCCTTGATTCAAGGAGTTTTATATAGGTTTAGTTTTTTGTTTTTTGTTTTTTTGTTTTGTTTTGTTTTGTTTTTTGTTTGTTTTTTTTTTTTTTTTTTGCTTTTTTTTGAGACAGAGTCTCACTCAATTGCCCAGGTTGGAGTGTGGTGGTGTGATCTTAGCTCACTGCAACCTTCACCTTCTGGGTTCAAGCAATTCTCCTGCCTCAGCCTACAGAGTACCTGGGATTACAGTTGCAAGTCACCATGTCCAACTAATTTTTGTATTTTTAGTAGAGATGGGGGTTCACCATGTTGGTCAGGCTGGTCTCGAACTCCTGACCTCAAGTGATTCACCCCCCCCTTGGCCTCCCAGAGTTCTGGGATTAAGGCATGAGCCAGTGTGCACGACCTTATACAGGTTTAGTTTTCAGAATCATGGTTTAAAAATATAAGTCATTATAAATTATATGAAGAAACAGTGTCCTAATTGGGTGTCCTCTAAGAGTTCTTCATAAGCTTAAGTAACAAATATGTAGCCATGAGTACATTTTCAGAGCTGAGTCTAGGGAAAGCAGCAAGTACATTTGTTGAGCACCTAAGGTGTCAATCTCGTGGCATACATTGTCTTATTTAATCCTCATAACCACACTATGAGATGGGTATTATTTTCTCCGTCTTACAGATGAGGACATTCAGTTTCAGGGAAGGTTGTGAATTTCCAAAGATGAGTGCATGGAAAAGGCAGGATTCAAATTTGGGTCTTCTAAGTTTCTGAAATTTATACTGGGTCTTACTAACATATAATATTTCAAGGGTCATAGCTAGAAGAGGTTACTTGATACCAGACTTCTTGAAATGAAAGATCCTTGTAGACATCAGTAGTCTTTATTCACTTTATTTGCTCAGTCCTTCTTTCCTTTATAAATTCAGGCATTCAAATATTTAGGCATTTGCTTAATAAGCATTAATTTGAGACTTAGTAAGACACTATGATTCCACTGGGGAGAAGAGAAAATGAAGGAGTGGGAAGAGGAAAGAGATATAAAGATATATAAGACTAAGGACCTTTCTTCATAGAACTTATATTAGGAAAGCAAAATCTAATATACATGTAACTATAAAACAGTACAGCATGTGTTGGGCCACAAGAGAAATAAAGGTTAAGATTAATTCCGTGTGCCTTTCAAATACAAGTAGAATGTTGGTGGATAGACGTGCAAGAGAAAGACATTCCAAAATAAGCTTTCATAATTTTGGGAGATATTTGCTGTAAAACCATTGCAGAACCTGTCTCCTTAGATTAACCAAACTAAAAGAGCAGAAAGCACTTTGTTCTTACCAGAGACACACGAGGCTGAGAATTGAGTTGAATATAATTAATTCTTGGGCCCTCAATATGATTCCTTTTTCCTAACCCCTTTCTTCATTAGGTCAAATAATCTAATAAAGAGGATTGAAGTGAGAGGAACTTTCCAAAGCATTTTGTTTGTTTTATTTAACATACACAGTCGATTGTAACTACTGAGTTGCTCAACTTGATAGGATGTGGTAAGGGAAGAGGAAGGAAAAGTGGAGATAAGACCAGATAATGGTCTTCGAATATCAGATTATGGAGTTTAGATTTTCTATTAGGCAACACAAAACATCTTGAATCTTGAAGTTTGTTTGTTTATATAACCAGTTTCCCAGTTAGAGGAAATACGTTGAAACAGGATAGTACTTTTTTCCAATTATAGAAATAAATCTTATGCATAGAAGATGTTAAGGGTGTTGTTTGTTTTATTTTTAACCTTTTTCAAGAGCTATTATATGTTCAGGCTATGGTTTCCCTAGATTATTATTGTTACATTATTGTTAGGGAGGGGTTAGTCTCAAAATTAATCCCAAGAGACTCAACAAAATTGCAATCCAGCCAACATTTGATGTCTCCAAACAAAAATATGCATATTCCTACTGTCCCTGTGACCTAGAATTCACTTTCTTTCCCTGTTTCACAAGGGAAATACTATCTCCTGATGTTTCCTTTGATATGTGAGGTCAAAAAGTTAATTGTTCTTTTCTTTTTAAGAGCATGCTAAACATGGGTTTTCGATATCTCTCCACAGCTTCACCATCCTCCAAGACAGATTTTAATAATATCATGACCCATAACCTTTTGTTTCGAAATTGGTTTTCACAGGAAATCAAAGGTGGAGGAGTATCTATATTAAACATTGATTTTTTAAGAGACCTCTCTTTCTCTTGCCTTTTCTCCCTTCCTTTCTCTAGAAGTTGAAAAAATTTATTAGTGAAAGAATTAATAGCCTTTAAAAATATCATTCTAAATTTTCTCTTTTCATTTCACTTTTCTCTCCTGAATTATAATAACATAGTTTGGGTAACATTTCATCTCAAATAATTCTACTTGTTGAGCAATTAACATTTCTATTTTCTAGGTCATTTCAAACTATTGCTGTGTATTAAAAGCATTTTAATACAATTATAGTGACATAACTTTGACTTTGAGATGTTCTGTAATGCAAGAGTCCTCTAAAATAAAGTTCAATTTGTTTTGTTTGCTTGTTTGTTTTTTCTTGAGACGGAATCTTGCTCTGTTGCCTAAGCTGGAGTGCAGTAGCCAATCTCAGTCCACTGCAACCTCTGCCTTCTGGGTTCAAGCAATTCTCCTGCCTCAGCCACCCGAATAGGTGGGATTACAGGCCCACACTACCATGCCTGGTTATTTTTTTGTATTTTTAGTAGAGACAGGATTTCACTATGTTGGTCAGGCTGGTCTCGGACTCCTGACCTCAAGTGATCCACCTGCCTCGGCCTCCCAAAGTGCTGGGATTACAGGCCTGAGCCACTGTGCCCGGACCAATTTGAAGAAATAAATTTGGAAAATATGTTATTTTTCTTATTTCAGCATTTTAAGGAAACATTTATGTGGTACCATGTCTGATAATAATACTAGTAATATCTACCTATTATTGAATTCCCACCGCTGCCAGGCACTGCTTTACAGGAAGTAAAATAAAAAATTCTGTGAGATGAATGTAACTGCTGAATTGTGTCCCCTTCCAGATTTCTAGATTTAAGTCCTAATCCCAAATGTGACAATATTTGGAGATTAATTTGGTCATTAAGGTTAAACAAGGTCATAAAGATAGGGTCCTAATCCAATAAAACTGAAGGCTTTATAAGAAGAGGAAGAGACAGATATCTGAGGACACGTGGAGAAGTCACTGTCTACGTGTCAGGAAGGGAGCCCTCACCAGAATCCCACTCTTCTGGCCCCTTAACCTCAGACTTCCAGCCTCCAGAGCTACTGAGAAAATTAATGTCTGTAGTTTAAGTCACGTAGTCTATGGTATTTTTGTACAGCAGCCTGCGTTGGCTGATACAGTGACATTTTTGTGGATTAGGAAACAAACTGAGAGGTCAGTGCCAAAACCGGCATTTAAACCTGAGTGTGCTGGATCACAAAAGTCCACTCTTCAGATTCCTCTCTGAATTTTGAATGAGAAAACAGTGAATATAGATATCTTTAAAAAATACCAAAGACTTACACTGTTGGTTGGTTGTGTTTTTATTTTATAGGTTTAGCAAATCATGCACAAAGCCAATGGGTTACTCTCATTCTTAGTCCTTATCATCTGATTTTTGTGTTCTAGCACCATTTTATTGTTTGAGCTCCCAGAATTCCAGGTTAATGTTGAAAAATGTAGCCAAATCTTGAAATTGTAATGTCTAATAAATCTAAGATTTACTGCTGCTGTGTTTGCTTTTTGTAAAACTTATTAAATACAAAATATCCAGTGTTGTGCCTGAAACTAATTGGCAGTGTCCCATTAAACCATATCAAAATTAATGTCTATTAATTGGATTAGAAATTCAGTGAGAATGACAGCTGCTAGTGCCTTTTACAGTTACTTTGTTTCTTTGTAATCCATATGGCAGAAATCACATAATGCTTTTTCCTTCATTGAAATAAACACTTGAGATAAAAAGGTTCCACTCAATGTGGTCAGAGTATGTGCATTGGTTTTTCATTCTTCCTCTTAATTTTTTTTTGAAAAATTAGCTTAAATTAGCTAAACTATTTTTTCTTCTCTCTTTTCACAGGTTTTCGCCAGCCATATTTTTATATCTGATTAGCATCGTTCCATCATTATGGCTTCTTGAATTGCACCATGAGACCCAGGTACTTCTTTTTGGAAAGTAGGAATTGACATATTCAGCAATAAGCTACTTTCACAGTATGATCCAATTTATTTCAGGAATGCACTTTTCTAAGTAACTGGAGTTATCAAGAGTTAAATAAATAAGAGGCTATCAGCAAAAGGAAGTGAATCCATGATTTGCCAATAAAAGCCCCAATAAAAAATATTACGTTTTTGTAAGATTTAGGATTATATAGTGAATTAACATTTTGTGTTAGAGATCTTATTACTAAGACTTCCCCTGGCCCCCACCCTATAGGTGGGGGCCTACAGGTAGAGTTTACCTGGGGGTATGGAAATTTAATTTCAACCCTTCCAGCTTCAGTGAGTTTCTATGTTGTGCTAAGAATGGGCACGCCTCAATGATCTGGCATTCTGTAAAGTGACACTTTTAGGAATTTCAAAAACAGAAACAAAACCCTTATCTGTACTCAGCTATATAAATACAATTAAACTTATAGGAGCCATTTAAAATAGTCTGTTTTAAAATGGAGGTTATACAGATTACAGGAGATTAATTTTTGGGAGTCCCACGGGCTGCCTTAGTAAAATAGAAATTCTTTTCTAGAGCCCTGAAACTAAGATTAAAGGAGAGGAGTCGTAGGACCCACGATGTGGAAGGTGGGCTTATATGTGTTAGAAGATCACATTGTCCTAAAAATAAAATAGTAGCTTCCGGCCGGGCGCGGTGGCTCATGCCTATAATCCCAGCACTTTGGGAGGCCGAGGCGGGCGGATCACGAGGTCAAGATGGAGACTATCCTGGCCAACATGGTGAAACCCCGTCTCTACTAAAAATACAAGAATTATCTGGGCCTGGTGACGCATGCGTGTAGCTTCAGCTACTCGGGAGGCTGAGGCAGGAGAATCGCTTGAACCTGGGAGGTGGAGGTTGCAGTGAGCCGAGATTGCATCACTGTACTCCAGCCTGGCAACAGAGCCAAACTCCGTCTCAAAAAAAAAAAAAAAAAAAAGCAGCTTCCAATAAGAGTCCCTAATTTATTACAGAGATTTTAAAAACAGCTGTTTTCTACGCAGACATCTCTAATAAGCAGTCTCTAGGTTGGGTGCAGTCATATACTGCTGTTGATGTTCCTGTTCAACGCTGGGGAGGCCAAGTTACTAAAGTTCATCAGATTCCCGCTTTGACTTCATAGTTCAGGTTACAGGACTACGTTACAGAGAAATGTGGTTATGACCTAATAATATTTTGGCACCTTCACTGATAAAATACTTTTAAAAAGATCTGCGAGAATTTGGACTTACATAGATTTCTTTGTTATAGTTGGTCATTTTATAGCAAGGTTAAGCCTCCAATATGTAACCCTATCTGCCTCCAATGTATAACCTTATCTGCAAAAGGCTTGCTCCAAATTATAGGCACACAAAGGGGAATTTAGTTCTGTGGACTACTTCTGAAGAATTCCACAAGCAAGTACCAAGAATGTAGGGATGAAGAAAACATTTTTCTCCCTTCAATCTCCTGCTAAAAATCACTAAAGTCATATAGGCTATTCCTATGTCTGTAGCAAAAGTGTTTTTGTAACTGTACATTTTTGGTTCAAGTTATCATAGCTTTTTAAAACTATACTGTAAGGAGTTAGGGGACTGTTTCCATCTCTTTACTACTTACTACTTTCAAGGGTATGAAAATAAGCTCTAGTGATTTGAATCAATTGTTTCTTTCACTCCAATTCTGTGACATGGCTATCATACACAATAACCATTCATTTCCCTAAATGCTTTTATAATATAAATTCGTTGCACAATTAATTGATATACAGGTCAAATCCCATTACAACAAATAACGTGCAACCAAAAGCTCCCTTTTTAATTAAAAAAAGATTTTTGAGCCCCAAGCAGTAGCTCTCTAATTTTCATACTACAAAAGAAATTGAACCTTTAGTAGTCATGGATTTGACTCATTTTGACACAGAATTAAAATGAATGCCCAGAGATTGAATTGGGCAGACTGAGCAGAAATGAAAGTAGAAAAATAGTAAGAGAGAAAAAAAGCATTGGAATTGTAGTTAAAGAAAGAAGAAATGGCAGAATAAAGGGAGTTACAGCAATTCTTCTAGTGTACTCATTTAGAACATTTTGGGAGTGATAATAATCACTTTTCTTCAGGTAGTCTCCTGTACTTTCACAAGTGTTTTCACATACATGGACCCAACAACTACAGAAGTTAGGCATGATACGTACATTTCTATTTTAAAGACAAGGATCCTGAGACTCAGAAAGGTTAAGTAATTTTCCTAAGTTGATACAGTAAATACACAGTAATGCTGGGGCCTAGAACCTAACGGATATCTAGTCCATTAAACCATATTGCCCTTCTCAGCTATCTGTTCTGTGTTTTAGAGGCATTTGCATCAGAATTATCTGAGTTGTTCATTGTAGAAAAGAGTAGTTTAATTTTCTTTCACATTTTCCCTTTACTCTATATACTATATGTTCTAACCCATGACTTGGCATTAAGAAAACATCCTGACCTATTTCATGAGACATTTCTCCTAGATGACTAATTTCTTACCTTCATTGCTGAATCTGGTTGGGTCTACATGTATGGGAACAAAACGTTCATGACAATGATTGTGACCTTAGCTCTCAGGTCCATTTAAGAAGTGACAAGATTAAAGTAATGGAAACATTCTGGTCTTCTTGTTGTCACAATTTCTTGGACACAGAGGAATATTTTTGAAGCTGATAAGAGTTTAATAGACACAGCCTATTAAAAAAAAAAGGCATGTTGATACCCAGATAATCTACGTGAACTCACCTATACAAGGCAGAATGTAAACAGTATAATCCTCAAAACAATACAAGTCAGGCTAGGTTTTAAGAGTGAAGTCACTTGTTCATTGCAGTCCCAATGTAGAGGTCACTTGGAGGAAAATCTTATCAATCTGTGACAAATAGAGTAACAGGAGTGGAGAGCAACTCAGATAAGTCTTAATACCATAATATGGACTATGAATCTATTCGCTTCCACGTTATCTTCTACTGCACTAAAGCATGGCCTTTTTTCTTAAATAAAAAGATGTTTATGTATTTTTAGTTTTAAGAATGTCAAAAACATATTAAGGTCACCACTTTTAATACATAGTCTGTTTTCATGCCTACAGAATGGTCCAAATGTTTTTCCTATGGAAATAAATAAAGTCACCAACATGCTTTGCAATGAAAATTTGTTGCTTGGTTAAAGATTTAATTTTTATCTTCATTATCTGTTTTTGGAGCCTTAGCTGCACACAGATACACACACACACAAAGTGTGCAAACAACTGTATTTTTGCTCCTACAGATATGGCATATGGCCATTTTTCTTAATTATTTTTGTCATTTCAACCATAATACTAGTTGTTTGGATAGAGGGTAGAAAAAAACAGCTTCTTGCAGACTTTCTTTTCTGCTTTTTCAAGTAGCTTATAGAATAGTCGATGATGTATCCAGAATGATTAAGAAAAATACACTTTTTACAGCTTTAATTTTTTAAAAAAATAAGTCCTCTCTAAATACAAATGTATGATCGTGGATGTATGGCGGTTGTAGTGGTGGTGGTGGTGAATGTGTGTGTGTGTTACAAAATATGTTAGCACTGCAGATGTTTGAAAAACCTTCAACTTTTTTTTAAGCCAGTTTGTAAAATATGCATTGGGTACAGCTACATTTTCAAGTGTCACCCCTTTCTTCTCTTATATAATTTTTCCTTCTCTTACTTTACCTCGGATTCCCAGCATACGGTGGATAAATATCATGCACAATTCACCTGCAGAAATTCTCATACAAAATGAAGAAACAAAAAAGGAAAAATGCCACTTTTTATGTCTATTGTTGAATTTTCCATAAACCTGAATTGGCTTTTACACTGTCACTAGAATGTATGTTTTGGTGGGTGAACATGCTAATTTTTTAGGTTGTTTCAGTGCTTGACAGGATTAAAAATGATTGTATTATTTACTTAAGCAATATGATATTTTAGATAAAGAGGCTTCTGGATAAGAAACAAACTCTTAAAATACTATATACACACACAGACACACACTGTGGAATACCACACAGCTATAAAAATAGCAAAATCATGTCCTTTGCAGAAACATGAATGAAGCTGGAGGCTAGTATTCTAAGCAAACTGACACAGGAACAGAAAACCAGATACCACATGTTCTCACTTATAAGTGGGAGCTAAAAACTGAATACACATGGACACAAAGATGGGAACAACAGACACTGGAGACTACTTGAGAGGGGAGGGATGGAGGGAAGTGTGAATTGGAAGGCTGCTTATCAGGTACTCTGCTCACTACCTGGGTGATGGAATTCTTTATACACCAAGCCTCAGCAACATGCAATTTACCCATGCACGTGAACCCCCAAAACCTAAAATAAAAGTATAAAAAGAAAAAAAAAATCACCATAATTTCCTTGACCAGGATCATATATGTTTTATTGCTGTCACTGGTTATTTGTTCGGTTTTAAATTCTTGCAGGGTTTAAGAAAGGAATCTCAGTTACCAATCTACAAATTCTACAGCTCTCTGCAATGACTCAGTATTTGCATCCTCATCGACCTAAGGAAAAATAAGATTTTGTATAGTTGACACTCTTTTCATATAGATTAAAAAGTGGATTTCCATCTCAGGCCTATATTCTGATTTTTGGAAATGTTTATGCATATGCTGTTAAACTTTGCATATCTGCTCATAATCTCTTGAACAGATTGAACTCTATGTACTATATGTTATGAGACATACTGTATGTTTTGAGTTCTACCATATTGTGCTAATTTTTTGCCACAATTGCCTTCCCCAACCCCATTCTTAGTATTGCAGTATCCAGGCTGAAGGAACATCACAGAATATCAGCAGAAAAGAAGTCTTCAATCAAACATTGACTTCCAATGAACAAATCAGTAGAGCTGATGATCTCATTGAGACGGTGAGAGCTTTTCCACTGTATATTAAAGGATCTAGCAAATGGTAGACTTGGTATAATTCTCAATTACCTGCTATACACCTCTCCCAGCTAATTCTTTTCAGAAGAAAGTTATCCATTATTTGGCTCAGGAATTCACAAAATAATTATATTTTTAAATTATTAAACATATTTAATATGCATAAATATATACATTGATACATTATGTATAAATAGATGCATTTAACCTGCCTCATTAAGGAACACTTGAAGAGGATAACGTGTGCACAATGAGAGACATATACATTTATGAAGCAATTATATAATTAAAAAATTGGGATATGATAATTTTAAGACTTTCTTTTTTAGAGGAATATTAGATTCACAGCAAAAATTGAGAGGAAGGTATAGAGATTTCCCATATACTCTGTATTCATGTACAGCCTCCTCATCCATCAATACCCTGCACCACAGTGGTGCATTTGTTAAAACTGATAAACCTACATGACATTGTTGTGGATGCCAATAAAAATGGCATTTTGTTTTTAATTTCAAATTTCACTTATTCTTTGCTGGTATATAGGAAAGAGATTGACTTTTGTATATCAACCTTTTATCCCACAACCTTGCTATAAACGTTTACTAGTTCCAGGAGGTTTTTTTTTTTTTTTTTTTTTTTTGCCAGTTCTTTGGGATTTTCTACCTAAACAATTATGTCAACTGTGAACAGAGACAGTTTTATTTCTTTTATTTTATTTCTTCCCTATAAGTTTTATTTTATTTTCTTGTCTAATTGAATTAGCTAGGGACTCCACCATATGTATTTTGTAGCTGTTTATTAATAAAATAGAGAAGATTTCTGGCCAAAACAGAATCCCTTTCTTTTTTTTCATAAAGCTGTTATTTGGCAAACTGACCATGACCTGTTTAAAAAGGAAAAGGCCCCTATCACTGAAACGTATTTTCAATAATGAGATGTACTATTAGTTCTGTGAGGTTTAGTGGAATGAACCTTGGGTTCTAATTCAAGCTCCAATCACAATTTATTTACATCAGTCTGGACAAATCATTTAGTTTCTCTCTCAGTTTTTCATCTGACAATCAAAATTATTAATATTTACTAGTGTGCTTCCTGTATAAATTAAATATGATGTATGTAAAGTTTCATAGTACTGATATAAGAAGGAGTACAAATGGAAGATTATTCATTTTCATGTCTGGCTTCAATCAGGATAGCATCATGCCTCATCTCCTATCCTCCCTTGTGCATTTGATATCAGCAAGTGATGGAGAGGGATAAATGAATTTTGCACAAACAGTTAAGTCACTTGCATAAGTAAGTTGGAATCATTATCCACTGGAGACCTAAGTCCTTGTAGGGGCAATAGTACACTTTGAGACTTCTTTAGAAGGTAATTGGGCAAGAGTTGTCATCCAGAATACATTGGTGGGATGTAAGTTTTTATAGGTCTAAGTATAATGGCAGAGTAAAATTTGCTTGCTGGCTTATGGATTATTGAATAGTATGTTATGTACTCAGAATAAAAATAATTTTATAGCTATTCTCTTTCTTTACATTTAGGTAATCGATAAACATTACATTTTTATGTTTAGCTATAATAGAGGTTTAAAGCAAAAAAAACAAAAGGGAAGATTTGTACAATGCTAAAAATATTTCAAGATTAGTAAATTCAGATTTTAAAATCTATTAAAAATATAGGAAATTTTTGTGCTATTAATATGGATTTTGTAGAACATTGCTATGTGTTATTTTTTGTTACACAGTGTAATAAAATGAGACATGATCTTTAAAACATTGTAAAATTGGTTCTTTAAATACCATATGGTACAATCCCACTCTTAAGTTTAAGGCTTAAATTACTTGCTAGTTATAGGCACCTCCATCTTAAGGACCACATTAGCTTTTTATTTTTTCCAGAGTGTTCAGCTGAAAGGCATTTTACTTTCTTTAGCAAGTAAAGAATAGCTCCTGAAAATGACTGTCTACAAAAGCAAACTCTTGATTGAAATCATGGTGAAGAAAATATTTCTTTCTCAGGTGGTGGCTCATAATCCTTCTGTCTGTATGACACTTCTGTTAAACAGGCCAAAGTATTTGTTAATAACTTATCTACAGTTTGTGAGAAAGTTTGGACATTGGGACTCCATCAAACATTCCTGTTAATGCTAATAATTGGAAGATGGCTTTTACCCATTGGAGTCGGGATCACTCGAGATCAACTCTCTCAACTTCTTCTTATGTTTGTGGGGACAGCGGCTGACATACTGGAATTCACAAGTGAGACCCTAGAAGAACAAAATGTGAGGTGAGCATTCCTTGCAACAAAAACACCTTGTTTTCAGGGTCAAGACCATGCACCTGTCTCTTGGTTCTGTGACTTGTATATCACATGAATTCGAATTTTTAGTATATTTTATATGCAATGTTAGGATCAGAGAATTTGCTGCTATTTGCATATTAGAAACCAGCACAGTCTTTATGCTTTTTGACAAATACATAAAGGAGATTTCTGCCATAGAAAGAGACACATAATATTTTCTGTGGGCGAGAACAGAAAGGCTCTGCATGTTTTCATGACTACAGGTTAGATAGAGTCATGGTTCTCTGAAAACCTGAAGTGGAATGACCATCCCTAGCCCCTCTTTTCCACTCCTAAGTGTGAGAAGCATAGCCAATCATAAAAGCCTCTCCTAGAACACAGCACAGTTACAGTTTAAGAGAGCACTGAGAGAAGACATGGAGAAGTCTCTTCCTATCCATTTGGGGATTTGCATTCCCTGGTGTAAATGGAGAATGGGGCAGAGGTTTTATTTTACTAAATTTTATTTTTAGTCAGTTTTGTTCAAAGTGCCCAAAGGCTTTCTGGTGTAGAGGCCTATAAATTAAAACTTATTGAGTTGGTACTTTTATTTTTGCCACAAGCAAATAAACTCAGAATCCATGATCACATCTGTTTACGGAACGACTTCCTTACCATTAGGGATTTAAGTCTCAATGCCTGAATATACTTTAAGCTTGGGTTGTTTTGCACTATGCCATAAAAATAAATTGGAATGAGGCTGGCTTTTAATGCTACAGTTTACTTATGCTGTGCTTCTCAAACAACAAAACATAAAGCTCCACAAAATACACTAACTTACCAAGTAAATTTAATATCCCAATTATAGCACAAATTATATTTATAACCATGAGCTACCTTTACAAGATAATTTCCTGTTTCATTTATACTAATTTTTCTCATAGCTTATTAAGTTGACATATTTTTTTAAAAAATCCAATCTAAATTGATTCATTATCATCATAGTGTTGATTTTAGTTCTGTAGTTTTAATGTCTTAAGTATGGTCAATGCTTTACATTGTAAAATGTATTTTCAAATAAAATACAATGTTGTTACAAGAAAAACTTCAAGAAATCATGACAGAGCATATAAAAGTGACAGGGACATCACAAAACAAACATAATTAACTCCACCTATGTAGAAATAAACATGTACATGCAAAACATTTAGGGAGATGGGAGAAAACATAGGGTAGTAAAAGAGGTAGTAAGGAGGGATATGTTTTGTGGGGCCAGTCATAAAATTATAAGAAATGCCTAACTCGGTTATCTTAATGGACTGTTGGTAGTCCCATCCAGAAGTGACACCAAGGAGCAATTTATAGATCTGTGTTTTCCAATAAAGGTTGAATATTAAATAATTTTGTGAATAAAAGTAGATTTGCCCAGCAAAACAAACAAAAAACCCAAATAAACAAACAAACAAAAAAACCCCCAAATCTTGAAAACCATAAGGGATTTTTTCACTCACCCAGTATTGATTTGTTATCTAATGTGTCAAGCACTGAGCCAGGCAGAGATTGGGGAACAAATTGTGAGCAAGTGTTAGTAAAAGGACACACAGGCCTATCTCAATTAAGACTATTTCAATTCAGCAAGAATTTAGGAGCACTTGATGTTTCAAGACACCATAAATACCCCCAATTTCTTCTATCACCTACAAATTAATCTGAATGCTTCATAAATATATATTTTTATCATTTTAAACTTGTATCATATCCTAGGAAAGCTGATGTTTAATGGAGCCCAATAAATTATGTCATAGTTTTTAATGGTTACTGTTTTTAAAATTTGTTTTCAATTTTCATTGTCTCAGGTTGAAGTCATTTTCATTTTTAATATTACCACATTGTGATGGTAGCCTTCTGTAGTTCCCATTCAAGTCCTATGTGCCTCTATTACTCAAATATCCACTCTCCCAAAAACCCTCCCAAAGTGAAAGCCCAAGAAGAATATAAAATTTTTCTCTCTCCTAGAAATTAGCTTCCATGTTCTGATTTCTTGTTTTGGTTCTCACCTATACTGCAAGAAGTGACACTGCAAATATCTATCTTTTCAAGGAAGAAGACCCTTAATCCTTTCCCACTGGGACATAAGCCTTCCCTTTTAGGCTCAAGAGGATAATCATGAAGAATAATCTTAATACATAAGTAAAAGATATTTATATCTAATAGAAGAAGGGATCACTTCATTGTAGTCTACTCAGCATTGCCTATTATTATGACATTTCACTTTTTCTAATGTTTTAATCCATAGTTTGGGCTGATAGATTTAGGAGAAAGCCTACAATGATATCTACATCACAAAAATATCTAAATCTCTTCCCCATTTTCTAGCTAATATGTCAAATTCTATTTTTTATTAAATAAATTTCCTTCCTTTGGCTCACATTAAAGTTCATCTACCTAAGTTTTATGCATTTACATAGATTTGTAAAGCTTCTGACTGCATTTTTTTCTTAACAGCTTTATGAAGTTATGGTTTAAATAACACAAATTTCAACTGTAATTCTATAGTTTAATGATATTTAGTAATTATAGATTTGTTTATCCATAACCACAATCCAGGTTTAGAACATTCCCATCACTCCCAAAAGATTCCTGTGGCTGTTTGCAGTCAATCTTCACTTTTAACAGGCAACCACTGATACACTTTATGTCTCTGTGGATTTCTCTTTCTTAGAAATTTCATGGAAATTGAATTATAAAATGTGTACTCTTTTATGTGTGGCTTTTTTATGTAACATAATGTTTCTGAGATTCATCCATGTTGTTTCATGTTTAGCTCCTCTTTAGTTGCTAGTGTTCCATTAAACGCATATACCACATTTTGTTTATTCATTCAGTAGTAGATGTACATGTGGATAACTTCCGGCTTTTTGATACTAAGAATGATGTTGCTAAGAGGATTCACTGACAGTCTTTTGCCTGGCTATGTTTTCATTTCTCTTTGGTAGACACCTAAGAGTGGAATGGCTGGTTATATGCTAAGTATAGCTTTAATTTTTTAATCATCTTCTGAGATGTTTCTAAAGTAGCTGTATTAATTTATATTCCCACCAGCAATGTATGAGGATTCAATTTTCTCTACATCCTTATCAACAATTGTTTTCCCCCCAGTCTTTTTTATTATACCCTTCTGATGGATGTAGAGTGGTATCTCACCAGGACATTAATTTGCAGTTCTTTAACGACTAATGTTGCTGAGCATCTTTTCATTGGAATATTAGCTATTCATATCTCTTCTTTGGTGATGTGTCTGTATATTTTTCTTCATTTTTTATTGGATTGCCTTTTATTATTGAGTTGTAAGAATTCTTTATATATCCTTGATACAAGTCCTTTATCAAATGTCTAAATATAAATATTTCTTCCCTGTGTTCAGCTTGTTTTTTAATTTTTTAATGTTACCTTTTGAAAAACACATTTTTAAAATTTTAAAGAAGTTCAAATCTATCAATATTTTCTTTCACATTTTTGGTGTCATATCTAGGAACTATTTTCCCAACCCTAAATGAGAAATATAATTTCTTTTGTTTTCTTATTGATATGGTTTGGCTGTGTCCCCACCCAAATCTCATCTTGAATTGTAACTCCCACAATTCCCAGGTGTCATGGGAGGAACCCGGTGGGAGGTGATTGAATTATGGGAACAGGTCTTTCCTGCACTGTTCTTGTGATAGTGAATGAGTCTCACAAGATCTGATGGTTTAAAAGTGGGAGTTTCCCTGCACAAGCTCTCTTTGCCTGCTGTCAGCCACTAAGATGTGACTTGCTCCTTCTTGCCTTCCCCCATGACTGTGAGGGCTCCCCAGTCATGTGGAACTGTAAGTCCATTAAACTCTTTTTCCTGTACAAATTACCCAGTGCCGGGTATGTCTTTATCAGCAGCATGAAAATGGACTCGTACACTTATGGAATGTTTTAGTTCTTACATTTGTTTCTATTATCTGTTTTTACATAATTTTTGTGTACAGTGGGAGGTAAGGTTCCAAGTTTATTTTTTATTTTTGGCACTGCCCCATTCCAGCTGGGACTAATTTTCCCAGTACCATTTGTTGAAAGGATTCTTTCTTTATTATATTGCCTTAGCATCGTTGTCAAAAAATCAATGGATCACAGATGTAAAGCTTTTTCTCTGGACTTTCTGTTGTGTTCCATTGTTTTATGTATTTGTCATTATACCAATACCACACTATCATGATTATGTAGCTATAGTGAGTTTTGAAATTGAATATTGTAAGTCTTCCAGAATTGTTCTTTTAAAATTTATTTTAGCTATTGTAGCTTTACATTTTTATATAATTGTTATAATTCTCCTTTCAAGTTGTAGAAAGGTTAAAAAAGTTTAAAAAAAAAACTTACTATGCTCTTTGTAGAGAATGAATTGAATCTAAAGATCAATTTGGGAAGAATTGTCATCTTAACAATATTAAATTTTCCAATCTGTGAACATAAAATATCTCATCCTTTGTTTAGATGTTCCTTAATTTCTCTCAGCAATGTTTTGTAATTTTCAGTGTGCAAGGCTTGTATTGCTTTTCTTAACTATTTCCTAAGTTTTTATTCTTTTTGATGCTCTTACTAGTGGAATTATTTTTTTAATTTTATTTTCACATTTTTCATTGCTATAATAGAAACACAGTTTACTTTATATGATGATCTACTACCACAGCCATGCTCAACTTGCTAATTAGTTTTATCCCTTAAGTTTTCTCCTTACAGGATCATGCTGCTTGTGAACAGACTGTTTTGACTCTTTCTAATCCGTGTGCCTTTAATTTATTTTTCTTGCCTTATTGCACTGAAAAAAAACTTCTTTCAATGTCAAATAGAAGTAGTAAGAGTAGACATTTCAATCTCAAAAGATAAGCATTCTGTCTTCCTATATTAAAGATGATATTAGTTGTGGGTTTTGTATAGATGCCCTTTACCAGTTTGAAGAAATTTCCTTTTATTTCTAGATT